TCACTCTCAGTTTCCCCTTGATATTTCAGAGACTATGAGAGGGAAACATTTTGAGGATTCAAATGACTAAGGGACAGAGCTAGTTGGCCAGCAAACCACAACAGGAAACTTTCATGGGGACGGTTGAAGCCACAGATGAGCAAACATGCATGCCGATTTTGGACATGCCTGTCTTTCCCATTCTTTAAGAGTAAACATGTTTCCCATCATGTTTGTGAGCCTGCTGCCCCCTTTTGGGTTGATGCAGAGCAGCCATAGAGGCAAAATAGGTGGTGAGGTTCCATTGTCCTTCCAAGGAGATTGCCAGGAAATCCACTCATTAAGTCATGGGGGGAGTTTTTCTGTACACACACACACATGCAGTTCCCAGCACCTTCACTTACTCCCTCTCTGCACCAAACAGGATGGCTAAGGTGACTTGTCCTGGCCTTTTCCCTCTCCCTGCCCTGTTCCACAGAGTTGACCTCAGGGGGAAGAGCTGCTTTTCATGTCCCCACCCTTGTATTTTTCTGTTCCCATCCAGCTTTCCTCTTGCACTCTCAGCCTCTTTCCCTTTGCCTGTTTCAGGCCACCTGTTTTTTCATGGTGCTTCAATCAGAGCTTCACAGATCCATTAGATAATTTATTAAAATTAGTGGACTAATGGAATAGTCCAAATCCTAAGTTGAGGGTGATGCATCCGGTTATTGAATTACATAATAGCTCAGGGGTGGGGGTGGTCAGAGGTATTAGGGTCTGGTTTATGGCCCTGTTTCCTCTGGAAGTCACTGTTAGATTTGCTTCCATTTTTACTTCCTCACATCCCTTGTTCTCCCTTCATTTTATTTGGATTGTTGTCTCCCTCTCTTTCATGCTCTGTGCTACTGTATGTTCTCACACATTTGTGTGTGTGTATATTTATGTACAGGAGAAAGAGGAAGAAAGAAAGAGAGTGTGGTGGATGGATGCTCTCCATCTCTCCTCAAAGTGCCAAGTGGCAAATCTTGTCACACTCCAAAATGAAAATCTGCTTTACAAAACTATGAAACATTGTTTCATTTGCCATGGAGGGTAAACACGCACATAAAGCATTTTTCTTCTTAAATAATGGATCACACAATGAAGGCTATTCTACTTGACAAGATTTTTAGTAAAATATGTAATCAGAATTAAACCTTAATAAAAATTAAGAAGCAGAATTATGCAATTGTTAATGTGTATTGCACTAAGTGCTACATTAGTTCTGGAGTGCATAGACCAATGGGCTCTGAAGGACTTGGCTGCATGTGGTTCAGTCATGGAGTGAGGTCCTCCATGGAGAATACCCTTCTCCATTTGAACTGCCACGCTGCGCCTGGGTCCCCACCACCACACTCCCAAAGCTTTCATTCCCCACCTTCTCTGCTTCCTCAGGGCAGCTGCTGTGCCCTCAAGGTCATGTGCTGGTTCGCTCACCATCCAAAGTTCATGGCACTGAGCAGCCACCCACAAGATATGTCCAGCAGGAGGTAGTCACTCTGGCATACTGGGCCACACCACATAACTACCGTCTAGAGTAAAGCGAGGTGATGGAGAATCAGAAGAGGGGCAACTTAACTCTGGTGACCCTCAACTTCCTGAGCTAGCCATGGATGCTTCGCTCATCACTGTCTCCTTTAAACACATAATGTGTGATAGGATGTAAGGAAATGCATTTTTAAGTTGTCTCCTTTCTGTCTATGACTGTCAGGAAGAGAAAAGCAAGAATTTGTGCACATCTGAGTTATTCATTCTGTGACAGAGCTGCTGGGCAGCATGGTGGACATCAAGAGTCTGCTTGCTACGGGCTGGACCGAAGGACATGCCCAGACACTGAGGGAAATGGGAAGTGGGACCCAGTTGACCTCTGCTCTGAGAAGGCCGGGCTCCCTTTTTCTCAGCACAAATTCTGTTCTTCACACAACTGCAGGGTTTTTGAGTGGCTGCACATTCACTTCCTCCCACTGTGTCTCTTCCACAGTAATACACGGCTGTCTCCTCAACTTTCAGGTAGTTCATTTGAAGGTACAGCATGTTGGAGGGGTTTTCTCTCGATATGATGAAATGCCCTCTCACAGAGTCTGTATAGTATTGGGATGATCCAGTGTTTATGTGTGCAACCCACTCCAGCCCCTTTCCAGGAGCCTGGCATACCCAGCTCATCCAGTGCTTGCTGAAGGTGAAGCCAGAGGCCCAGCAGGAGAGACGGAGGGACTCTCCGGATCTTTTGACATCCCCTGCATACTCAAACAGTAGGTCTTCTGATTAGACACCTAAAAGGAAAAGATTTACAATGAGCCTTGATAGAAATCTAGCACACAGCAAATTTCATTGGAAGAAAAGAGAACTTTACCTCCAAGAACTGCAGAAAATAAGGCCAACTGCAGTAAAAAAACATCCTTTTCTCTTGCAAAGCTAGGAAGAGGTCCATGGAGAAGTGGTCTAAAGTGCACAAGGGGTGTAGTTGGGTCAGAGAAACTGGGTGGAGGATTTAAAGATGGAAGAGCCTCTGGAAATTTGCATGAGATCTCTGGTTAGATGCAAGACACATCATCTGATGCAATAATGGTGCCACATGACACTCTGACTCAACCATCACTGCCCAGCGTTTTTGGAAGTCTTCAGTAGCTTGGTGGTGGTTGTGCGTCGTCTGCACTCTTTGGGTGCAGATCCTGCACCTGCCACTGCCTGCATGGAGAGAGAGGCAATGGGAAAATCCACACGTCAGCTTTGACCTCCTATGGGTGGACCAACCTGGTCATTATCCAGCGCAAGGGCACTCTGCACACTTGCCCCTGTGCTCAGCCAGGTCTTGAAGGTGAGGCGGGCCCAGAGGGAGCCCAGGGGCATTGCTGGTCCCCAACTGCACAAGGGTTAGAGTTAGCTGGGACCCAGGGCCGTCTTAAGAGCATTATGGGACCCAGGCAAAGCAGTGTACTGGGGCCCCTACGACAACTACTCACAGTGCTGGTGTGTATCAGGAACAATACAAAGCAGAAAAGAACTTAAATTAGCAATTAGTGAAGTAACTTTATGCCTTTGATCAGTATGTGCCATATATGATACAAGGTGCATTGAAGGGTTAACATACACAGATTAGTATGGGGCCCATGGGCAAGTGCCCATCAGCCCATTCTTTAAGACGGCCCTGCCAGGACCCTTCCATTTGTGCAAATTTGAGATTTCATTCCCATTTCCTGCCTCTGCTGTGGTCACACTGGAGCTACCTTGATTAGCTGTGATTCTTGGCACAATGTTTTAGCAGTTGAAACTTGAATGAAATGTGCTCAGATGGAGCTCCACCATTGAGATGGAGCTTCTGGAAATGAGGGGAATTTTCATGTCTCCTCCTGAACCTCAGAGGAAGCATTTCTTCAAATTCACCACCTGGGACCTTGGACTTTCCCCCTAGGTCATGGCAACTCCACTTTGGATGTGACTGTGAGGATGTTTTGCTGTGAGAGATGGTGCACTAGGGTGATTCTGGGAACCTTCCAGGAATTTCTAATTCAGAAATCCTTGAAAATGTTGCAATCACTCCTTTCATGACTTCCTCTACTGATGGATTGCCCTACATACTGCAAATGGGGAGGATTACCTTCAGGTAACATGGAAAAGAAAATAATTCTAAGGCAAGGCAGAAATTTCCCTGCTGTTTTGTTTCTTGCCATGCAACTGGCCATCGAGGGCTCACAGGCACAAGAGAATAATATTTCATCCCCCCCAGGATCAGAAGTAGCAGACTCTTTTATGCAAAATGTTCCCCAACATCAAACGCACATCTCAAGCTAAAAGGACCTTTCCAGAGTGTACCAATTTGTGCTTCCGCACAACATGATTTGGAAAAAGGCAAGGAAGGATTCATTAAATTGAGATGAAAGACTAAGGTAGGATTTCTGAGATCAGAATGTGTGTGAGAAAGGCAGAATTGCATTCAAATTAAGCAAAATAATACAGACAGATGGACACGGACACACACACGGACAGAACAAAGCAACAGAGAGAGAGAGAGAGAGAGAGAGGCAGTGACAGAAGTAGGACAACAAAGGTAGACTTGGTTTCCAAGATCATCTTGCACTGGGTTTGAGTGATGGGTCAGTTGTGCCTCAGATAATTCAGGTCTTCTGCTTCAGGGCCGAAGCAAGTCCTCAGCTATTTCTAATATTCATGGCTTCTTCCAAGTTTGGGATGGTGGGAAGTTTGGTTCCTGTTTGGACAAGTTTGGACAAGCAATGTGGAAAGATGCTTGACTGCATGAGTGAGGAATTGCATTGCCAGGCCTCTGAGCAGAAGGGACTGTATCTGAGCAGAACTCCTCAGAGAAGGAGAAGACCTCCTGGATTGAGACTTTGAGAGCATCCTTCTCTCCAAATGGCACTCAAACCTCTCAAGTGTCTGTTTTATCTTCATTATAGCCTTTCCCTTTATCATCTTTCTGGATCTTATGAACCTGTTCAGCTTCACTTGTTTTGGTCTTACATCCAACTTGGGTTTTTCCTGGAACACTGAGGTGGTGGGCATAAAGCACGAAATAGCACTGCATATTCAGACGTAAGGATGGGCCAGATTCACTGCTCATCAAACTTTCCTTCCCTGTGTTTCCCTGCCTGCCTGTCTTTTAGGTTAAAAAGGATAAATAAATTTAAAAAGCTGCACCACCTGAAATCAAATATGGACACACATTTCTGATTTCCCCGTCCATATTTTTATGTGCACGTGATGTGTGCTTAAAAGACACAGGTGCCGATGTGCCTATGGAGGGTTTTGCAAGAGGTATGAAACAGTGTTCAATATTTTGCAAACAAAATCCTTACATAAGCGTTTCTTCCAAAGCAAGTCAAGAAATGAATCAACAAATTGTTTCTTATGGAATGAAAACAAAAGAAGCTCCAAGGAAAAAATCAAGACTCTTATAACTTTGTAAGCAATAATCTTCCCTTCATATAGTATAAGGGTATGAGTTGGGGAATGTAAATACTGTTCTCTCTTTGAATTAATTTCCTTCAATGGGCATGTAATGCTGCAATAAATGAAAGGGCTTTTTGCCAGGCTGCAGATTCACTTCCTCCCACTGTGTCTCTTGCACAGTAATACATTGCAGTGTCCTCTGGCTTGAGGCTGCTCATTTGCAAATGCAGCAGGCTGTTGGAGTCGTCTCGGGAGATGGTGAAGCGGCCCTTCACGGCGTCCGAGTAGTAAATGGGAGATGAATATGTACCGATATAGGCTATCCATTCCAGGCCCTTCCCAGGAGCCTGGCGCACCCAGCTCATGGCGTAGCTGCTGAAGGTGAAGCCGGAGGCCCGACAGGAGAGGCGGAGGGACTCTCCCGGACTTTTGACATCCCCTCCAGACTCCACCAGTTGAACCTCTGACTGCACACCTAGAAGCAAAGGAATGTGACAGTGACCCGGAGGGTACATAAAAACCTTGCATGCAACAAAACCCCTTTTGAGGAAAGAATATTACCTCTGAGGACTGCTGAAAGTAAGGCCAACTGCAGCAAAAATATCATTTTTCTGGTATTCTAGTTTGAAAGAACTGACTGAAAAGTGGCTGGAGGTCCACAGTGGACAGAGGCTGTGCCTGGCAGATTTAAAGGGGCACCAGCCTGAGGGTATTTGCATATGGTTCAGGATAAAAGCACAGGCGTGGCCCCTCAGAATGTTATGGCTGGATGCAAGCGTGGTTGTAGCAGCAACACCCCATGGCTCCTAAGAACACGGCTGCCACATGGCACTTTTGCTAGTTCTTTCTGCCCCACACTTTTGGAAACGTTCAGCTGTGTGGTTGGCAGGTGTTCCAGGAACTGCACTCTTGCCCCCTTAAGACCCCTCCTTCTTGTGATGGGGCTTTCCTAGCATGCCCCACATCAGGATGAGAAAGTTCCCTGCAGATATTCCACTTGCTTTCTACTGAGAACCACAGAAGTTGTTCCGTCTCTTTTCCCCAGAATCCCTTTAAGGCACACCCCTGGGGCACCCCCCCCCCTTTCCACTCAAGTCTCTTGATAACATGTGCACAGTCTAAGTGGGTAATGACCTGCTTATAGTTCCTTCTCTTGCTTTCAGCTTTCCGTGTTTCACACCAAGATGGTTGCCCACAGGGATGGTGGGTCTTGGTGTCTTCAGTGAGGAGAGGCTTGGGGCTCATGACCTTCTGGTCCCGTCCAGCTCTCTGTTTCTCTGATAACATTAATTGAAAGTATTTCAGTGTTCCCTCCCATTAAATCCTACCTGCTTGCAATGAATCCTAGGAAGACTAAATGTATAATGCATAAAGCCTGGTTGGATCTCAGGAAATGCTTAGTTAAATTTTCACCTTTTGGCCGTGAGAGTAAGGCAGTGCAAATCCAATAATTTGTGCACATCAGAGTTATTTATTTTGAAAAGAAGAGCTGGAAAGCATGGTGGATATTACTTTGCTTCATAGAATCATAGTATAGTAGAACTGGAAGGGGTCATGAAGGCCATCGAGTCCAACCTCCTGCTGTTTCAGGACACCAAGTTACACCATCCCACTCAGATGGCAGTCCAGTTTCTTTTTGAATACCTCTAGTATGGGAGAGCCCACCACCTCTCCAGGCAGCTGGTTCCAATGTTGCATTGCTCTGACAGTGAGGAAGCTTTTCCTGATGTCCAGCCTGAATCTGGGTTGTCACAACTTGAAATGATTATTCTGTGTCCTACAAGAAGAGATCTTGACCCTCCTCTTTGTGACAGCCTTTGAGCTGCTTCTAGAGGGATATCATGTCACCCCTCAGTCTTCCCTTCTCAAGGCTGAACATGCCCAGTCCTCTCAGTCTCTCCTTATAGGGCAGTGTTGATTTCCAAGGGCCATGACCTCCTCATAGGGCATGTTGACCGAAGAACATGTCGGGACACTGCAGAAATTGAGAAGTGGGACCCAGCTGACCAATACTCTGAGAAGGCCGGGCTCCCTTTTTCTCAGCACAAATTCTGCTCTTCACTTGACTGCAAGATTTTTGTCTGGCTGCACATTCACTTCCTCCGACTGTGCCACTTACACAGTAATACACGGCTGTGTCCTCGGTCTTCAAGCTGTTCATTTGCAGGGACAGCATGTTGGAGGGGAGTCTGCATAGGATGTGCTGGACCCACTGCTTGTTATACCTGCAAACCATTCCAGGCCCTTCCCGGGTGCCTGGTGGGCCCAGTCCACGCTGTTGCTGCTGAAGGTGAAGCTGGAGGCCCGACAGGAGATGCGAAGGGACTCTATAGGCCTTTTCAAATCCCCTCCAGACTCAATCAGTTGTACCTGAGAACGGACACCTAGAAAAAAAGAAATTTGACAGTGACCTGGTATGTATATAAAAACCTGGCAAGCAGCAAACCCCTTCTGTGGAAAGAATATTACCTATGAGGACTGCTGAAAGTATGGCCAATGGTAGCAAAAAGAGCATTTTCCACCTCAACAGTATGGAAGAACTGACTGAAAAGTATTCCCAGGTACACAGTGGACAGGGAGAGTGCCTAAGGAGGAGCCAGCCTCAGGACATTTGCATATGCAGCAGGATAAAGGCACAGGCATTGCCCCTTGGATTTTGAAGGCCCAGCACAAATGTGGTTGTAGCCACACCACCCAATTGCTCTGGAGCACATGGCTACTGCATTGCACTTTTGCTATTTCTTTCTGCCCCACACATAAGGAAGCCCTCAGCTGTGTGCTTGATGGGTATTCTAGGAACCACAATCTTTCTCCCTAAAGCCTCCAGGTCTTGTGCTGGGCCTTTCCTGCCATGCCGCACATCATGATGGTAAAGTTCCCTGCAGGTATTTTGCCAGAGCCCCCACATGAGAGGCGGAGGGGGTCCCCAGGCCTTTTGACATCCCCTCCAGACTCCACCAGTTGCATCTCTGCCTGCACCTAGAAGGAAAGGAAGTTGACAGTTACCTGGAGGGATTGTAAAACCCAGCATGCAAAACATCCCTTTTGATGAAAGAGTATTGCCTCCAAGGCCTGCAGAAAGGAAGGCCAATAGCAGCAAAAATATCATTTTCTCGTATTGCATGAACTGACTGAAAAAGGGCTTAAGGTACACGATGGACAGAGACGTGCCTGGCAGATTTAAGGAGCAACCAGCCTCAGGACATCTGCATATGAAGCAGGACAAAAGCAGAGGTGTGGCCACCTGCAAATCCATTGCCGGACACCACTGTGGCTATTGGAGCCCAACCCTGTTCTCCCAGAGAGCGCGGCTGCCACATGGCACTTGAGCTGGTACTTTCTGCTCCACACTTATGGAAGCCCTCTCCTGGGTAATGTAGTGTGTCCTATGCAAGGCAGGCTTGCTTCCACACCCCCTTGCTCTGGCTGTGGGCCATTCATTTCATGTCCCTCATCAGGATTAGGAAGTTCCCTGCAGCTATTCCACATGTCGCCTACTGAGAACCATAGAAGTTGCTTTGACTCTTTCCCCCAGGATCACTTTCAGGCATACCCCTGGGGCACCCGCCCCACTCCAACCTCTTGTTCCAAGGGGCCCAGTCCAGTTGGGAAGTGACCTGCTCATAGTCCTTTCTCTTGCTGTTGGCTTTCCTTGTTTCACACCAAGTTGACTGTCCACGGTAAAGATTTAGCTTGGTGTTCAGCACTGAGCAGATGTTGGGGCTGATGGCCATCTGACCCTTTTCAGCATTATTTCTCACTGATTCTCTGACAATGTTACTTGACAATGTGTGTTCCCTCCCATCCAGTCCAAGCTGTGAGAGCTCAGTATGAATCCTAGGGAGTCTCAGGGAATTGACAGGATGGGGGGCAGGTGCAGTTGGTGGGCAAAAAGTTACAAGGAACATTCACGGAGGCAGCTGCAGTCACAGAACAGCACTCATGGATGACTCTTTGAATTACATATTTATTTCCTACCTTGCATGACTAAAGGCCTTTGACATTTCTCATTCCTGGGTGCCTGCTGCCCCCTGTGGGTTGATGAAGGACAGCCACCAAGCAGTCAGGTCTTGGGGTGAGAGACTGGCAGGAAAATCCACTTATCCAGCTGTGGCAAACTCAGCTCCAATTCCTGCGAATATTCTGCCACAGAACATGCTGCCTGGAAAACTTCATGAGGAAGGTGATCTTTGGGAAAAGAAGTCTGGGGCACATGGGGCTTGATCTCTCAGCCTGCCTCTGCCTGCCTTATTGTCTTCTTCCAGGTAGATGTGAGGAATGGAGTTGCAGGCTGATGTACAAGGAGAAGAGCTTTTCTGGAGTTCAAAATACCCTGTGCTCCAGTACCATTGTCTGCAGCATCCACCTGGCCAGGGTCAGACTGGAGAACAGGGAGTCCCAGTACTAGCTGGCAGGTTACTTCCATGGAAGTTCCTTAGGGATTGTGTGTGGCCCAAAGGCCATGAACAGGAGACGGCAACATAGGAGATGCTGGATCAGACCCATGGTCCAGCTGTCTGTACCCATGTCAACAAGCCGGTTGCTCATAGGGGTCCTCAGGCAGGACAGGGGCAGGGTCTCCTCCTGCCCAAGCCCCTCAGCAACTGATGCATGTAGGCATGGCAATTCTGGAGCAGAAGAGGGTACAACTCCAGCAATGCTATTTGCCACTGGGAGTCTCCTCCCTCTGAATCTGTCCAATCTCCTTTTGAAGCTATTCAGAGGGACGGGCAACACCACTTCCCAAGGCAATGAATTCAATAGTTCAATGACATGATTTATAAAAAAGTGCTTCCCTTCCCTTCCCTGACCTGAATCTACCACTGGAAGATTCCCAGCAAACTCTTGCCATTTGTGTATCTCTGAGCATGGAGGGTCTGTGGGCTGTGACAGAAGGCAAATGATGGATTGACACAGCTGTGGTGAAGAGGCAACTGGGCTTCTGGGAGGAACATGGATGGCAAGAAGGCTCATTTCGATCAAAGAGTAAGTGATGGAAAAATCATAGCTCAGCCATCAAAATGTGCGTGAAATGTGTGTTTATATATAGGAAATTCATACCATGCTGGGTTCTGTGTTCTGGGGTCGGACAACAGAAGAAGTGATTGTGGTACCTCAGAATTATCAAATGGATCCTTACTTCCTTTCCTGGTCACGAAAAACCAAGGCTTGCTTCACACATCAGGGCAGACAACCAAGAGTGGTTTCCCTGGTGTGCCGATGATTGTCCAAGATGGTCAAATGTGTGCTTTTCTGAGCAACGTGTGTTTTGGGGTCCCTGCTGCATGCCCATCATTGCCACACATCCCAGCAGCCCCTGCCTGAGTAGTGTCCCTTTTCACTCAGGTACAAACACTGAGTGTACAAGAGCTTCCCTCTTCTCTCTTATGATCTGGGGATTTGGGGATGTCTGGGCGAAAGCACCTGGATTGATGCCTTCTCTCCTTCCTTGTAACCTGCTTTCTTTCCTGCCTC